GATGGATGTTAAAACTGCTTTTTTGCATGGTGATTTAGAGGAGCAGATCTACATGCGGCAACCTGAAGGTTTCACTCAACCTGGAAACGAGCATTTAGTTTGCAGATTGAAGAAATCTTTGTACGGGTTAAAACAGTCTCCGAGACAGTGGTATAAACGGTTTGACTCCTATATGATCAAGATTGGCTACAACCGATGTGAGTATGATTGTTGTGTCTATGTTAAGAGCCTTGATGATGGTTCTTTTATTTTTCTATTACTGTATGTTGATGATATGTTGATTGCTGCGAAGAACATGGATGATGTTATCGGTTTGAAAACTTTATTGAGTCAGGAATTTGATATGAAAGATTTAGGTGCTGCAAAGAAAATTCTTGGAATGGAAATTTGCAGGGACAGAGACTCAAGGAAACTGCGGCTATCTCAACGGGGTTATGTTGAGAAAATGCTAGAAAGGTTTGCGATGAGCAGCGCGAAACCAGTTAGCACTCCATTGGCGAATCACTTTAAGCTCTCATCAGAACAGTGCCCTAAGACAGATAAGGAAGCTGAAAATATGGCAAAGGTTCCGTATTCTAATGCTGTTGGCTGCTTGATGTATGCGATGGTATGTACTCGTCCTGATTTAGCTCATGCTGTTAGTCAAGTTTGTAAGTACATGTCTAAACCTGGTAAGCAACATTGGGATGCAGTCAAGTGGATCTTTCGGTACTTAAAGGGTACTGTGGGACATGGAATTGTTTTTGGGAGTCAGCGGGATAATCCTTTGGTTGTAGGATATGTGGATTCAGATTATGCAGGTGACTTGAATAATAGAAGATCTACGATAGGGTATGTGTTTACTCTTGGTGGAGGGCCTATTTGCTGGAAGTCTACTGTTCAATCTGTCGTGGCACTATCTACAACTGAAGCTGAATACATGGCAGCGGCTGAAGCTGCAAAAGAAGCTTTATGGCTTACTGGTTTAGTGAAGGAGTTGGGTGTTCAACAAGGTGGAGTTCAGTTGCTTTGTGATAATCAAAGTGCTATTCACTTGGCTAAGAATCAGGTGTATCGTGCTAGAACTAAACATATTGATGTAAGGTTCCACAAGATCAGAGAGTTGGTTGCATCTGGAGAGGTTTTGTTTCAGAAGGTACATACTGATGAGAATGCCGCTGATATGTTCACCAAGCCAGTTACGACAGACAAGTTCAAGCATTGCTTGGACTTGTTGAATGTTTCGAGTTGTTAAAGAAGCAAGGTAACCCAACCCACATTGAAGTTTCCAAGGGGCAGGATATTCGCCAAGGTGGAGATTTGTTAGGTATGGCTCATAAATATACCAGTAAAGAGGACAGGAGATGGAGCGGAGTGAGCGAAGCGAACATCAATTATAATACCCTAAAATTTTCAATTTAATTTTCTCTATTATTCAAAATTTGTTAGTTTAATTCATTTTTATGCTAAACGTCGAAATATATATCACAAAAAAGAAAATTAATTCACACACAAAAATACGAAGAAAATTTGGTAAGTGGTTTGATCACTTGGAATGAAGTATGATGATGAGGTTGATCAATTTGTCAATGCTATGGAATATTGTCAGTTGAATTCCGAACTTGTTTCAAGTGCTAGTATCACTAACATTTTGTCATTGCTGAAAAAAGCAAATGATTTATTAAAACCATTTAAGATCGCTGCACAAAATAAAATAAAATAATATGTACTATTTGAACCTTGAACTGTACTGATTTTATGAATTTGATATTTGAATTTTTTTTTAATCTCATTTTACTATCAAACTACCAGTCTCCCATTTAATCCAAAATTACCGACATCCAATAAGAAAGCATCATGTGCCAAGCTCTCATCAAACTTTTTATATATATATAAATTAGAACATAAATTGTGGTTCAGTTTGGATACCTAAAAGAGATGAAGAAAAAGATTTAGTACCAAAATATGAAAACAAATAAAATTCAGGGGTCAAGAAAGAAAACTATAGGTCAACATGCACCAGCTCGAAATCTTAGGTAATAAATAAACATGTTTAACAGTTGGAATCGTTTGAAGCAAACAGAAGTCCTGCCACTTAATTTCCACTCACATTACTAAAATATTATAAAACCCACAAATTGCCTTAGCCGATCACCCCATCATTTTCCTTTGCCAAGCTGTAGCCATGGTGGGAAGAGACCAAGTAAGGCCTCTAGCACCCGCCGCCGACGCTCAAAGCAGCAACGACTGCGAAGCCGCTTCGCAACTCAAAAAATTCAAACGCAAGCAATTCGTCAAATGCTGCTCTAATCATCATCCTAGCCGTGGTCATCATAGTATTGATCTTCACGGTGTTTCGAGTCAAGGATCCGATCATCAAACTGAATGGCGTTTCAATAACAAATCTGGAGCTAATCAATGGTACAAGCACAGTTCCTATTCCCAGACCAGGGTCCAACATATCCTTAATAGCCGATGTCTCGGTCAAAAATCCCAACATAGCATCGTTCAAATATAGGAGCACCACCACGACTCTTTACTACCATGGCACCGTTGTCGGGGATGCCCGAGGCCCCGGGGGAAGTGCAAAGGCCGTCGGACGATGCAGATGCAGATGCAGATGAATATCACTGTCGATATCATCACGGATCGGTTGTTGGCCAGTCCAAATCTGGTTGCGGATGTCGGTAAGAGGACGTTGACCATGAGTAGCTACTCGAGAATTGGAGGAAGGATCAATATGTTGAGCATTATAAAGAGGCATGTCACGGTGAAGATGAATTGCACCTTTACAGTTAACGTCACCAGCCAAGCAATTCAAGAACAGAAGTGCAAGCGAAAGGTTGATCTCTAGGTTTAAGCTATTTTTACCTCCTGCATTGCTGTGTACTATACATACATACGTATATATACATATGATATGCATAGATAATAATGATGGATACGTTGAGTTATAGTATGATTATAATTTCTTTGCTATTGGGTTTTTTTGTTTAACTTGGATATACTGCAATAAATTCTTTTTGCTTTTTTGATAAAAATTTGATGGATTTGGCATGAAAGCACATTTTTAGCAAAAATCAGGGTTATTATAATGTTTAGATGTGTAAGCACCTTCGAAGTGGGCGAGGGAGTAAGTCGTCTCTCTTGAAAATTTTAAATTTGTATATAGTTAAAATATTTTCTTTGTATTTTTAATTGATATTTTGTTTTTGCCCATAAAATTTATAGGTTTATTTTCTCCTAAAATTTTAAAAATTCGCCTCCTAGTATGATGTCCTACATCCGTCTTAGCAAAGAAGTTGCTTAGTACAAAGAATTTATTTTCTGGCCGAATAGTTGGAAAATTAGAAACATTATTTCATTGACCATACATCATAACACAGGGAATTTCCATGATCAAGTGAAGTTTGATTGAATGAGAACGATAGATATAATTAGTGGTCTGGGAAAGGTTTATTTGGGAGAGCAAGAAAAGTGGGAGCATGTTCCTTGCTTTAGCGCTTAAAAAGAGAAAGCGTCACACTGTCATCTTGATGCTGTCCGGCTCCGTAAACATTTTCATCTCTTCGTTCAGTGGTACCCGGGTTTGAAGGATTAAAGAGTTGTTTGTTTACTTCAGAATGATTAAGTGTTGAATGATTCAGAGGCTCTGAATGGTTTGACTCTGAATGTGACATGTTGTTTGATAACTGGCTCTGAATGATTCAGAATGTATTTTTGTGTTAAATCATTTAGCACTGTTTTGTTGAATCAGTCAGCATTGAATTATTCAGAGGTGCGAAACAAACGCGCTGAATACTGAACGATTCAACATTCAGCGATGAATGATTTCATTAAGAGGCAAACAAACAGCCCCTAAGTCGAGGAAATGGTATTAGTTTTTGACGGCTAAAAATTGTTAAGTATCGTTCCATTATTATAATGTAATACGAGGGTTATAATTTTTTCAAAAATAAATATATTAAAAAATTAAAATTACAAAAAAAAATTCTCTAAAATTTTAATATATATATATTAAAATCTCTAATCATAAAATCCATTGTGTCAGTCACCTTCGTGGTCGTCGAATATTTATCCATTCGTCATGAACCACTATTGTTGATCGTCTCGTTCTAAACTTTTAAATTTCTAAACTCTCAATACTTAAATTCTCAATCCTCTCTCTTCAACCATCCCTTCTCCCTCCTTTGAATATTTGTTGCCGGCAAACCTTTTGTCACATCTCTCAATCACATTTTTTTCTTCATCAGTAGTCGATTATATTTCCGCACTCGTCGCAAAACTAGCATCATCACATTTCGTCCTCTCTCTTTTGTTATACCATTCAAGGAAATGACATCAATAATTATTGATTTTAACATCAACTAATATGATTCGAAAATTATGTCTGAGAATTAGAATTTAAAGAATTTTGGGATGTTTTGTGAACAATTAAATTTAAAATAGTAATTTTAAAATATTAAACATTTATTTTGACGTAGGATGTTATTCTCAAGATAAAATTTCATTTTCTTTTATATTTTTAGGTATGAATTTTTTTAATAACTATTGTCTTCATTTTTCTATTTATACTTAGCGACATTATAATTCTAATTGATTGTATTATTTTTAATAAAGGAATCTAATTCTAAAAAAAATTATTTTCGACTAAGAAAATCTAAAAGTGATATGAAGTGGGGGTGTGAAAATGCTGAAGAAGGTATTGGGTTCCCACTAAAATGAAAAAGAATAGCATAGAAACAAAGAAAGTAGGCCATTATATAGTATGAAGCGAGGGAAGCTTTCTCCTTTGTTGTAATGTTTTAGTAACTGTAATATCAACAAAGACAAAAGCTGAGCATCTTTTCGGCACCACAAGCAGTTGCTGCTCAAATTTCTGGGCTTTTGGTCTCTGAGTACATACTGTATCAAGAGCAAGCATAATCCCATTAGATTTTTTAAATAACAAGTTGAATTGAATTAGAGGAGAAATATAACATGAAATCAAAACTCCCGGTGTTTGAGGAGGCGAGGATGAATGTGAAATCACAGCCACAATAAATGCTGAGTATTGAATGCAGCACCTACCCATTTTCTTTTCCTTCTCTCTTTCCCTTTTCTTCACCAAATGGATCCTTCCCTTGACCCCAAATGTCCACTCCTTCCCCTTCTTCAAACTATCTCACCAACTTAGGCCTCGGCTATTCCATTGTCATCGCCGTCGGTTTCCTCGTCCTCCTCTCCACCGTTCTCCTCGCTTCCTACATCTGCTTCCGCTCTTCGTCTCGCGCTTTCTCTCCGAATCCCACCGCCATCGCCACCGCCGCCTCCAACTCTTACGGAATCATACTCCCGAGAATCGTTTTCGTCGGCGAAAACGAAGACAGCGAGAACATCGTCGTTGGACTCGACCAGGCCGTTATAAATTCTTACCCAAAGTTCCAGTTCAGTAAAGAGTCGGCTTCTGCCAACTTGAACACTACGTGTTCAATTTGCTTGTGCGAGTATAAGGATTCGGAGATGCTAAGAATGATGCCCGAGTGTAAACATTGTTTCCATGTCTTTTGCATCGATTATTGGTTGAAACTAAACGGATCTTGTCCCGTTTGCCGGAACTCGCCGCTTCCGACACCACTTTCCACGCCGTTGTCGGAAGTCGTGCCTTTATCTCAGTTCGCTGCCGATCGGTGGAGGTCCGGGTGACTTTTGGGTGTTCTTTTCTTCATTTTAGTTAGGTAAGGAACAGACAAATTGGGATATTCGCGTATTTTGGGTTTTCAATTTAGTTCAGGGATTTATTTCATAAATTATATGTACCTAACTTAAATTTCGAAATGAATAATTTGCAGCAATTCGCCTTCTTTGAAACGGGAGGAAGAAGAAGAAGAAGAAGGATACGACCATGTGAATGAGTGGCTGTGTGTCGTTTTCATTGCACAGATGGATTGTGAGTGGAGAGATATTTGCACATGCAATGGGCCATTGCATTATATAAGTGGAGTCGGCCCACCAAAACATCCACTATGTACCAGATATTCTTTCTTGGACTAGGGGGTGTATATCTTCTAATTAATTATAAAAATATTCCCCGTCCTCGAATTCTAGGAATTCAAATTGTTAAATGTGTGTTTTTTTTAAATAAATCAATAATTTTATTCAAAATATGAAATATCTTTAATTATAATTTAGTATCATAATTGCAAATTAAACACAACAATTTCTTATAATCATTGAAACAAAGTTAACTTAAAATTACATAAGGACCATACAAGAAAAGATTAAAATCTAACCAAGAAAACTCGAACAAAGATAAAAACAAATTTGATCGCATCGATAAATGAATCACAAAAGAGGATTAAGCTATTGAAAGACCATCGATAAACACAAATTAGACTTGAGCGACGTGAAAAGCTATCCACGAACGCATAATGGGTATCCAAATTCAATAAGAGGATACAAAGCATAGAGTATTAACAATATAACAGATAAACGACATCTTAATCAGTCGTGGCGATGTCTAATCAACCTTTAAAAATGATAAACGAAAACAACTATCAAAATACCGAAAAACATGCCAAAAGATAAAAAAAAATATCATAAAGGCATAGGAAAACGTACCATACAAGCAGATTTATTGAAAATAAAATGATAATAAAGAATATCAACGGTCGACAACCAACAATAAAATTGATGTCATCGTCAATTAAAAAAATTAAAAGACAAAGAGATGAACGACTTACGAGAGAAAACTAGAAAATAAAACTAAAAAATAAATCTAAGAGAATGAATGCAATTTTTTAAAATACAATTCATTGTTTATATTTTTTTTACCTAAAATGTTGTGCTAAGTAATGTCATTTCTTATTTTCTAATAATAAACGGGTTCGTACTACTTTAGACATTCTTTAAAATTAATTACTATGGACAAACTTCTAAATTAATATAATGCTGAATCGTATGTCAAATGCAAAAGTTAAGCGTTTTATTCGTCATTTTCGAAGGGTTAACGAAGATGGATATTATATGAGAATGTTTACGAGTATTATAAGAATAGTTCCGATATGGTTAAGGGTACATCTCGGTCATATATTACATTTCTAATTTATTGGTCGTCAACAAGACAACTAACAAATGAAATAATTTAACGAAAATAGTTACTTCCTATTGGATAAGCTAACAAACTATTGAAATAGACTCATTATAACATCATCTGTCAATAAACATTAATCGTCTTTCACCTCCTTGTCATATGATGCTGATAACATATGATATATAGTTGGACTTCCTTGCAAAGAAGAAGAGACTATGAGAGAAAATGAACCCTCTTTATTTTCACATAATCTCTCTTTGTTCTCCTATGATAAAGATCAAGCTTTTAATTTTTATTGTCATAACGTGATCTTTCATCTGTACTTTTTGAGTTGATCTGATGATCAATTCATCATCGTCTTAACTCCTTCAGACCATCTTAAACCAATGTCTCTTTTATTGACCATCAACATTGGTGCTATGAACATGAACATATTCGGATTTTATCTTACTTATAAATATTGTTAATCAAATTTGAATCATAAAAAATTATATCAAATCACAGAAATTGTTTAATAAATATATATATATATTAAGCGAAGCAAATGTGAAACTCTTGGTGTGTGTTTGGTTGGGGGAATGTGAGATTTTCATGGGAATGGAATCTACATTCTCCCGTTTGGTTGGCCGGAAATGTCATTCCCGGTAATCTTACATTATCAATAGTGGATTTTTTGGAGTATATTACCGGGAATGTCATTATCTCCATTTCCTTAGGTATTGTTGGATTACCGGCGTTTTAGACTAAAATGCCCTTAAAAAATTCTTTTAAAAATATATTTATTCTGTCATTGAATAATAAAAATTCTACGAAGGTTAAATTATAAATTTATCCTTAAACTATTTTATATTTACAAAAAAATATATATATAATTAAAATTTTATACGAAGTTCAGGGATTAAAATAAAATTTTACATTTTCATTAAACCTTTTTATATTTTCAATTTTGTAAAAAAATTATATAAATTTTATGAATTTAAATTTTTTAAAGAAAATATATAAATATTTTTCAACTTGTTAAAGAAACAAATATATAATAAGGACAATTTGGTCAAATATACATTCCAATAATCTTTTATTCCTTTAATCAAACACGGTAATTTTATATTCCTGCTAAACCAACCAAACACAAAATACAACATTTCTAGTAATCTTATTCCCTAGTAATCTTTTATTCTCACTGATAATCTTACATTCCGTGAACCAAACGCACCTTTGATCTTTTTAATAACATGATGAAACTCTTGACATATTCATTGAAAACAACTGTTGTTACATAATACTCGAAATAAAGGAATTATTAGACACGATTAAAAGATTTTATTTTTTGAAGGCAACGTGCTTCTTTACTTTGTTTTCGCATGACACGTTTATCAAAACCAGCTAATAAATCATTAAAATACTAGTAAAATCATATATATTTTGATTAAAATTTGTTAATAATAGTATTTGGACTTGGTTCCCTCTCTTTCTTTCGTGTCTCCCCAATTGGCCGGAACGGTTCATGTTCGTCCTCGCGAATATTTCTCCATTCAACATCGATTCAATTGAGGACCTCCGAGTTCTGTTTGAACCATTTCTCGGCAAATGTATGTCAGACCTCCGAGTGGCAACAACTGGTTCGAGAAGCAAACGAGCGGGACACAATATTGCGTGCCCTTCCTGGATGGATGGTTTCTTTGGTGGTTTGCAGTTCCAGTTGGAGCACCATTTGTTCCCCAGGTTGCCTCGATGCCAATTGAGGAAGGTTTCTCCGGTGGTGAAGGATCTTAGCAAGAAGCGTAATTTATCTTACCAGAGTTTGTCCTTTTGGGATGCGAATGTGTCAAGACTTTAAGAACTGCTGCACTGCAGGCGAGGGACCTAAGCAACCCTGCTCCGAAGAATTTGCTGTGGGAAGCTGTGAATACTCATGGTTGAGGGCTTGAGGTGGATGAGTTTCTTGCCCAGAGGCATATTTTTCTCGGACTGAAACTCGAATTATATTCTGTTTGTGGTGTTTTTGGGTGACAAATGCCTGCTTTAAAGACAACCACCCCGATTTGGTTTGTACTCTGCTTTTAATTTATAAAAACATTAATAAATAATAATACCAATCCAGATTTTCTACCTTGATTTTCATTTGAACATGTTCTTCAATCTCCACCAGATAAAAATAGTACACATTTTGGGACATTCATGAACATACAATGACCAGAAGGATGCTGTTAGCTTACAAACAAGTGAAAAGAAAAGTACAAACATGTACACAAATAGTGCATCCTTTCTAGAAAAAATAAAAATAAAAAAGAATTAGCAAACTTAGATTCTACTAACATGGATGCAAACACACACATGAAATTAATATGATGTTACTAATGTTGAATTTGTATTTTCCATTTCTTCATCTGGGAGGGGTTTCACATACTTGCCTAATGCCTTTTGACGGTGTTTATGCCTCATCCTCTCTTGTTTATCCTTGCTTTTTTGCTTCCTTTTCTCTTTCTGTTGGTTGCGGAGGTTTTTCTCTCGATCGAGTACACCTTGCCACACAACCTCACCTGTTGATGGCCATAACCATCGTTTTCTAGGTTGGTCGGAATCTGCTTCCTCAGCCAAATCCTCATCCATGGCCTTTAAAGTGTTCAAGGCAAACCATTTCACCCACATTTTACCCCTCCGATGCTTGAACGTGTGATATTCTTCCATCACACCAGTCTCGGGATTCACGTACACCATCCGCCGTGCGCTGTGGTATGCCCAAACGTTTACAAGTAGCTCAAGCATCCGTGAGTAGCAGTGCTTGTCCTGTAGAACAAAATCACTACTTTGAAAGCCATTCATAATCATACGGGAAAATTAAATTACAGACCCTTAACAGTAAAGGGCCCGGAGTTATCACAGATGGTCTGACAAACAGATACTTCAACAGCGATTCGAGATTAATTTAATAATAGTAATACAATTTAATGTCTTGTCTGGAAGGGAATATCAATGCAAATAAGCAAAAATTACCTTTGAGAAACTCAGATAACAGTGACCACTTTGATGGTGCTCATCATACATTTGTGCATCTAATGCATCCACAAACATCCTGCAAACAAGACAAGTTAAAACTTCGACATAGTTTAAACGGGTCATGCAGATAAACCATGAATTGTGCAATAAATATCACCTTGAAAACATAACAAACTCGAGAAAGGACTTAGTCGGCAAAGCCCAACTCTGCGTTACAGACCATGTGCCTCCATCTTGAGGCATGGGTGGCAAAGAATTTAAATTGGTACTTATGCCATACATCCTTTTAAAAGTCTCAGAGAATGCGAACCTGCAATGGAAAGGTAAATGAAGCAAGCAAAAACGTTAATACAGTAAATACATTAACGTATTTTGTGCAATTCCATGCTGTTTCTTGGAAAATAATTGATAAACTTTAAAGCTCTTACTTGCAATTTCCAGCATTTATAGCATCACAAAATGACCAAAAGTCCTGCTGCAAGCTGTTTCTTGGATCCATGTCCATCCGAACCCAAAAGTATAGAGCATCGCCGTATTTGCGCTTTTCGATGGCGCCTAACAATGATGTCTCAGCAACTTCAGACAGGGATGCCTGTTTCCCACCCCACAATTAGATGTGAAAATGTGTTTAATAAAAGAATAAAATATATTGCATTTGAGGTATTTTGTTTAGCCAAATGGCATAATCCTCAAAACTTAATCCACAAGAAGAAACAAAAAGATGTGTTTAATATGCAGAGGTAAAGCGGCTTTCTAAGGGAAATGAATAAACAAGAAAAAGCAAGGCCAGGAGTGTTTGTGTTTACGTGTGTGTGTGTCTGTGTGCAGGGGGAATGTGTTCCCATACCTTCCTAGCCGTTGCTCTCCATGACTGAAATCCTATCCAGGCATTCCGGTGTAGACGGTCAATCCGGCTAGCAATTGCAAAGAACGCCCCATATTCACCAAGAGTGTCTCGGTAGTAGGGATTTTTAAGAAGCTCCAGACGAGATGGTCCATCAACATCATCCATCTTGGGTCTTCGACATTTGGAGGACTGCAACTCCCATCAGACATATATAAATCAGACTACAGGATGAAAGTTTTTATATAAGGAGAATTAGGTGTCCTATTGCTTAGATATAAGTTTTTATTTCATTATAAGTAAATCAATAAGTGGAATAAAACAAGAACATAAACCCAATATGATGCTTCAATAACCCACCAATCCAATTCCACGATAAAGAGAATTTCGGTGGAGGAAAGGCCATGTTCCTTCACCATAGTAAGGTTCATAGATACACAATGGTTGACCAGTCCTTTCAAGCTCCCTTTCATCCCTTTCATGCAGGTCATTCCTCACACGATCAGCCCTCTTGGCATTTCGATATACGTCCTCCCAGGTGCCACGAGGATGATCATTTCTATCTTTCAACTACAACATATTAGAAAGAGCATGAAACTTCATAAAGTAACAGCTTAAACAAATGCTCCCCAAACTATTGAACTGAATTTGTAACAACTATTTTCCCAGAACAACTTCTTACCTCTTGTTCCTCTCGTCTCCTTTTCATATTGATACTATGCATCTTTTTCTCTTCCTCCCAAATCTCATATGAAAATGAATCATTCATAGCAATTAACGATCCTAATTTCTTTCTTTGAGAATGTTTCCGCTGCTCCTCTAACTCATTTAAAAATTTGGAACTCCTGTCTTCGAGTGTAGAATTCCGAAGATCCAGAAATAGGTCCCATTGCCATTCTTCTTTCAACTTTGAAGGAAGTTCTATGACAGCCTTAGGAGGTGCAACTTCTGATGGAAGCTTCAGAATATTTTCCAGCAGCAAGGCGTATCCTTCAACAGTTTCCCTAACCATCATGTTTTTAACAGTTCTTCTCCCAATTGAAGCAACATTCAGTGCCAATGGTGACAATTTTCCTTTCGATATCATTTGCAATATGATCTGTGTCAGAACACTAATATTCTCCTTAGGGAAAAGATATCCGTTCACCCTGTTATCGACCTAATTGTTATTGCCAGCACAAAGTCAGTAATATGCCAAATGAACCGGAGTATGGATGAACATGAAAGAGCATAGAAGCTTACATATTTCCTGATATTGGAGAGATCTGGTGCTACAATTGGTTTTCCATAGGACATGGCTTTTATCAAAATTTCTGGAAATGATGGCTCTTCAAGGAATGAGCCATATATCACAAGGTCGGTCACGCTAAGAACACTGTCAACCTCTCCATCAACAGCAACATGCTTCACCACCCCACGGGGATATCTCAAGTTAAGAGCAATTTTCTAGGGAAAAAAGAAATAAATGTAAAATGGATTAAGAGAAGCTCAAAAACTACATCACAACATAAGTATAAAGTGATTATGACCATACCTCAACAGCCATGCTGTAGTTGCTTGTTGAATCACCACTTAAGACGATGATTTTGGGGAGGGAACTAGAATTATTATCAGATGAAAAGTCGGCAAAAAGCGGTAATAAAGCCTGCAAAATAAGTGCATGTTCCAACCACAAGCCTCTGTACATAAATTGACTTCCAACAATTGCTATAAGTAATTCATCAGGTCCATAACCCATACTCGTATGCTGATGATCTATGTACAAATACATTGCACTCTCTCCTTTCCATACATCAGCAGGAGAACTAGGAATAACATAATAATTTCCAGTATCAAATGTAGAATAGATCATCTGCAGAAGGAAGAGGAAAAAGACCAATCACCAGAAGTGAATCTAATATTAAAGTCCACTTTAGAGGCAGGAGCATTAGGGAAGTAATGTCCTTTTTCCGGCATTAGTAAGTACTATACTGACAAAGCATTGAGGACCAGATGATTATCCAATAACAATTACCGGAAGAGCATAGTTTGGGAAGACAACAACAGTAGCACGATTGAAAGTCTTTTTCCAATCATTCACAAGCTCAATCTGCCCCGTCAATGTGTATTGTCTCGAACGAACAGCAAGAGCTCTTTCATGGATGGTCCATATAAGTGGGAGAGATTTAAAAGGTTCCTGCATGATACTATAACAAGTAAACTCATTCACATTAATTGAATCAGAAAAGTAACATTTCCAGTCAAATCTTTAAATTGTCACAGTAAAAGGATCAAATAAAGCACATTTATGTCTTCAGCAGATGCTGAAGTATTCTTAAACTTTTGAAAGCAATATGTAAAAGGTGTTGCCAAATGATTTTTTTTAAGTGTTTTATCTTAACAGCAGCGAAAATTCAAACTTGTGCTTAGAAACAATTGCAGTTTGTTTGCAGCTGCAACAGAAAAGGTCTCCTTCACCGGGAAAACTACTAAGTCTACAAGGAAGACTGGAAGAGAATGAAACAGCGAAAGGGGAAAACATGAGAAATATTTGGTACTAGAAGTTTTTCTTGCAGAGGAAATAGAATTACCTAGAAACAACACTCTTGGCCTCAAGAGAGCTAACAAGTATGCCATCATAGCTGCAGATGGATACACCATATATCATAATTAGATACCAAAAGATTAGTTAACCGAGATTACGAACAAAACCAACTTACTTGAGCCAATCGACACCAATCTCATCTGAATTGACTTTAAGAATGGTGACTGGAACTCCAATATTTTGCCATATATTGTGCACAGGACCATCTTCAAGAGAGTATACCTTCCAAGGAAAAAAAATAAAACACATCAAGATTGTGTTAAGCACTAAGTAACAACTGAAAGCTATGCAGTATCCTCTAGCTTTAACATCCAGAATTATACTACTAAACTAAAAATGAAAACAGAACTCAATGTTATTTACCTGAATTTCATAACCAATCTCTCTTAACGCATTTGCAATGGTCACCATTAACAATTGTTGTGGGTCAACCAGTAGATCAGCAAAAATCTTCAGGTAAAATATTTGGAAAAAAAACCCCATCATAGATAGCAGAATGGAGAAAAAGATCCAATAACAAAAGCTGACCTAAAAGAAAACTGAAAGAATTGTTTTCACTAACCAATGCCAGCTGAGGCTTTCTATAATGGAACCGGTGTTGGCTACGGTTGAGAGCAGATGAAGATTCCAAACTGACTTGTTTATTTTCTCTCTGAAATTTCAGCAAAAGATTACATGGTTCCAAAATGACATCCTCGCCAAAATCCAACCCACCCATGTCTTTCAAGTATCTTAATTCTCCAAAAACCAAATCTTTAGCATCCAAGAAGGAATCTTGGGATTTGTCCATCACTGAACCAGGTAAAAACATCTGGAAGAACACCACAAAGAAGAGGAAAACGACAACCGTGCAAATCCATTGGATGTAATCTAGCTTCTTGAAGAGCAAAAAACGAGACAATCTCGATCTCGTTCGGCTCAAAAAAGGGTTCCTTTCGTTCCTAAAACCATCTCCCTTCAAGGAAACCAGACTTTCTAAGGAACCCATTTACATTCTCATCCAAAACAACAGCTCAGTAAAAGAGAGAGTAAAAAGGAGAGACACACACGAGAAGGCCAACAAGTAAAGCAAAAGACGAGAGTTGAAAAGTGGAGGTGCTACTTATGACCAAAAAGTGAAAAAAGTAGTCACTATTATCATCTGTGAGCAAAATATAACTAGAATGGCCATTTTTACATGGATTTGGAATTGTGGAAGATAAACATAGGCAAATGGAAAGGGATTTTTGTTTTTCTAAAATTGGAGAATAGGAAAGGAGTTGAAGGGTGAATATGAAACAAACACACTGTTACAAGTGGGAATCTCTTGTTAGAAGCTGTAACTTCGGTCGGGAATCCAATATTCTCTTCATTTTTTATTAACCCTGTCCTTAAATAATCCAGATTATCCGTTCGTTTTTTACAATCTTTTATTTGGGATTTTTTTTGGCTACCGACAAATAAAGGATTAAAAAAATAAATCACTCATTAATTACTAATTTAGCGGGTGGAATGTTCAATCGCATGTGAACTCATCAGTTTGATTATAAATATTAAATAAAAATAATAACAACCAAAAAAGAAAAATTATTTTGAATTTAATAAAAAAATATGTAGGTGATAAGTTACATAGAAGATTGAATTATATGAATGATAATTAAATTACGAAAAAATTTAATCTGATAATTAAATTATTAATTAAATTATTTAATTATTTGAATGATATTAATTAAAATATTAATTATTAACATTTAATAAAAAATTAATATAATTATACATTTATTTTAGAATAAAATTTAACGATATATTTATTATGATTTAAAAATTAATAATAATATATAGCGCCTTCTTTTTTTTATTACCCAGGAGAGAAAAAAATTATATTAGAAGTTGTTCATCATTCACTTTAGGAGTAAGGTTTTGTCTCATTCAGGTTTTGGAATTATAAACTCAAATAATGCAGATAGGTTATGGAAGAATATGGCAAATTCCATCAGAGAGGTGGGCAAAAACATCATTGGGTTGTCGACAGGGAAGTTCAAGGAACATAAAGAATCGTGGTGGTAGAATGACGAAGTCCAAACTAAGGTGAAGACAAAACAAACATGCTTCAAGGAGTTGCTACAATGCAATGACGACAAAGAAAGATCGAGAGCTAAACAAAGATAGAAGGAGGCAAAGCGAGAAGCCAAGAAAACAGTGGCTAAAGCAAAGGATAAGGCATACGAGGAAATGTACAAGAGATTAGACACCAAGGAAGGACAAAACAACATCTTCAGGCTTGCAAAATCCAGGGAGAATAGGAAAAAGGATATAGGTAGCATTAGGTTTATTAAGGACAATAATGGTGTTCTTTTAGTGAAAGATCATGATATTAAGAGGGCTTGGGTTAGTTACTTATTTGACTTATTTAATAACGGTGCCTCTCCCAGTAGAGATAGTAACGTTGATGGGTCAGCCGACCATCATACTACGGCCAATGACTGCCCTACAAGTAGGATTGGGATTGAGGAAGTCAAAATGGCCCTTAGAAAGATGGGGAGGGACAAAGCTGTCGGTCCAGATCAAATTCCTATCACTGTGTGGTTGACCCTAGGAGAAGAGGGAGTTAAATGGTTGACCAACATCTTTAATATTATTTAAGAGACTTCCAAGATGCCAGAGGAGTGGAGAGAGTCGACGGTGATACCAATCTATAAGAATAAAGGAGATCCCCAACGTTGTGGTAACTACACAGGTAGTAAACTACTCAGTCATACAAAGAAGCTATGAGAAAGGGTGATAGAGGCTAGGTTAAGACAGGTTACTAGGGTTTCGAAAAACCAATTTGGCTTTATGCCAGGCAAGTCTACTACGGAGGCGATTCATCTACTTCGACGACTTATGGAGAAATATAGGGGAAAAAATAGAGATCCTCACATGGCGTTCATTGACCTTGAGAAGGCGTATGATAGCGTACCCCGCGATACGATCTGGAAGACCTTGGAAACGAGACGGATCCAAACTACTTATATTTGGGCGATTTGTGATATGTACTGTAGATCTACTACATACGTCAGGACTACAGTTGGCGACACCGAGGCATTCCCAGTGGAAATTGGACTCCACCAGGGGTCGGCTCTTAGCCCTTATATCTTCGCCTTGATTATGGACGACATCTTTTGTGCGACACCAGACGGTGTTCCATGGTGTATGCTTTTCGTTGACGACATTGTCCTAGTTGCTGAAACAAAAAATGAGTTAAATAGTAGACTGGCTACTTGGAAGACTGTTTTGGAAGAAAAATATCTAATGATCAATATTGAAAAGACAGAGTATTTATGTGCAAACTTCAGTGGAAACCAAAACGATGAAGATGTAGAAGTTTGCATCGAAGGACACGTTCTCCACTCAAAGGATTGTTTTGAGTACCTAGGGTCTATGATACATAAAGATGGGGGTTTAGATGATGATGTTACACACCGTATAAAGGCGGGATGGCTAAAGTGGAGGACTGCTACTGGAGTTTTGTGTGACAAGAAAGTGCCTCTAAAATTTAAGGGAAAATTTTATAGAATGACAATAAGACCAGCGCTGCTGTATGGATCAGAATATTGGGCAATCAAGAAGGATCACGTAAGGAGGATGGAGGCCGCATAAATGAGAATGCTTCGATGGGCATGTGGTAGGACTCTGTGGGACATGACACCAAACTCTGCAATTAGGATGTCCTTGGGGGTGGTGCATGTATCCGAAAAATTGAGGGAGGGAAGACTACGGTGGTTTGGGCATGTCCTTAGGCGACAACCGCCGGATGCAGTCAGGAGGGTAGAGTCGATTACAACCGACGATGCCAGAAGGAGATGACGACCAATGAGGAAGTGGGTAGACTGCTTGAGATCTTATTTGAAGGATTTAGCCCTTATCGAGGACATGACCTCTGACAGGAAAATATGCAGACTTAAGACCAGGGTAGTCGAGTAGTGTGGGTCACAACCATAGGGTGTAGCATCTATGTCTTCTTTTTATTGCCTTTGTAGTTATTTCCATTACTTATACTTTTTATACGGTTCTGTCATTGGAATTTATGAAGTATTAGAACTAGGGTAGCGGAGTATTGTTACATTAGTTTAAGTTTTAACCCATTTGACTTTATACCTTCTCGTAGCTTGCTACCGCTGACTACTGTGTATCATTCTCTTCATGTTTCCTCTTTTTAAATTTAGTCGGGACTTACGTTTCTGTCTATATGCATAGATTTTTACGCATGGATTTATTTGCAGGGATTACTTCCCATTACAGATGCTCATATGAAGTTTATTCAACTATGTATTTATTTATTTATTTATTTATTTATTCATGCACGTATTTTATCTATATTTTTAATTTTCTGACTGCCGGAGGTCTTCCACGAAAGCTGCTCTCTACCTGGCGTTGGGGGCAGCCTACTACCCTACCTCCCCTTATCTCATTACATATGAGAATATGATTTTATTGTTGTTGTTGTTGATTCAAGTTTCAATGTAAGGTACTTGTAGTCCAACGGTTAGGATAATTGACTTCTAAGCAATAGACATGGGTTTGACTCCCGGAAAACACAAATATAATATTTTTTTTTTGGCATTTTGACATTCATTTCATTTCAGATAAGTTGTTGAGGAAATCTTAAGCAATCAAATCACGTGTTGATGGCAATAATAATAAACTAATGTATCTGAATCTGAACTCTTAGAAACACAGCATTCAAACTATATTTAGAAATCAAAACCCTCACTTCAATGCCCTGTTTCTCTCAACAACTGTAAGTGGGAAAGCAATAGTTACTTCCAGGGCCAAATCAGTTTAAAATAAAAGACCGTCTGTCACTAATACCCATATCACTATACCATACACAACCCCAGCCCTCTTTTTATCTCTTTTCTAATGTTTTCAGAGAATGGACTGTGGGACTAAGGCCCAAATAGGAACCTGCCAAAACAAAACAAAAAACAAGATACAAACTTCATGCCTGTGTAACTCTCTACACAATACAGTCATCAGCGTAAGATCCTTTATACACGGTAATCTTTCAAAACGAGGATCCTTAGCAATCCTGAAAGAGATGGAGTGTTGGAATGTATATTAGCTTATATAAGTAAAAATATGGGTGCTGAATTACATAGAGATGCTCATCGTCAATTCATCCTTTAAATAAAATTAAATATTCGATAACAAAAATAAAAAAAAACAAACAAACAAACCTACGAGCTATGTCACATATTGCAGTAGAAATTAATGAATCAAGGTTTCAAATATTAGGGGCAAATATATATGTGTGTACTTATACATGTTATCAAGTGGAATTAAATTTAGCGGAATCATTAAATTTCAAAAGTTAAAAGTATATACTAACGGGTTGGTTCAAGTGGTAAACAATCTGATATCGCTTAAATAGATCTCGAGTTTAAGTTTTTGTGTGTACAAAAAATCTATACCGGGAGACTCATCCACCAAAAACAGATCGGTCTGAAATGGTCAAGACGAAACCTTAAAAATCGAGAGGGCAAAAAAAATCAAAAGAGTACATAAACTTGAGCACAATTAAATACTTTATAATTTGTCCCTTTTTCATCCAAAGAAACACAAATATGATAGAGATAACAACAGGTCGGGTTTTTTGTCAACACGACCACACTTGAAAAATATATACCCTCCACCCGAAATTTTTGAAGATGTTCATGTTCGTTTAAATTTTTAATATAATGTTTGTGTTCATTTGTTTATTTTAAGATGTTCATGTTTGTTTAAATTTTTAATATTGTGTTCGTTTCTTTATTGTTCACAAACATGGTCGTTTAAAGTTCGCGAACGTGTTAATTTAGAGTTCACGAACATTTTTGTTTATATGTTTAATTTTTTATTTTATCCTTTAATATATAAGCTAAAGAAAATGGTAAAATTATGTCACTAATGCTTAAACTCCTTAAAATTCAGGTTAAGCTTTAATTTTACCATATGTTCAATTTAGTTCATACCTTCAACAATAACTGGATAAACGAGCATGTTCATGAATATAAATGAATGTGTTGATAAACGAGCTCATAAAAAA